ATCCAAATGCAACTCATTTTATTTAAGCTTTGCTTTAAATACCATCTTTTCCAAGAAATCTTTCTGGAACCTTCCCATCAGTATGAATCACATCTTCCTTAGATGCATTTCTATGGAATATATTTCATGTTGCCTTGTACTGTAATTCTTCAGACTTTAGTACAGAACAGTACAGGTGTTTTATTCTTCTTAGGTTCTCCCATAGTGTCTACTGCAGTGCATAGTCAGGAACACAGCCATTTCTTGTTTCTGAAGTTCATGAATTACAGTCTGGATAGAAGGCATTTGACATGTATATTTTGGTTCCACTCTCCAGTGTTCTCAGAGCAGAAGGTGCTCACAAAGGTAGGACCCAAACTCACCAATACACCAAGAAAGCCTTAGCAAAGTAGGCAAATAGAGAGTAAAGATTGGGTGATTCTGGGAATGATAGGGAACATTTGTAATCCCAAGTACTTAGAAGATGAAGATCAAAAGGATTGTTGTTCAAAACCAGCCAGGGGAAAACATTAAGAGTTAGCAAGATTAGCCCTACTATGTCAACAAACAAGCTAGATATGACACTTTACTCATACTAATCCAGCTATACTGTACGTGTATGCAGGGGGTTCATAGTCCAAAGTTGGCCCTGAGCAAAAAGCATAATATTCTATTCCAAAAATACCTTAAGCTAGAAAAGGGTTGGGGGTATAGCTCAAGCGGTAGAGGACTTGTCAAGAAAACACAAGGCCTTCCATATCTTAGCTATGGTAAATAATGCTGCAATAAACTTAGTTGTGCTGGTAGCTTTAGTGTGGTCTTGTTTGTGATCATTTGGGTAAATGCCCAAAAGTGATTGCTGGGTCATAGGGGAACAATATGTGGAGTCTTTTGAGGAACCTCCATACTACTTTCCAAAGTAGTTGAACAAGTTTACACTCCCACCAACAATGCAGTAAAGTTCCCTTCTGGCCACATCCCCGCCAGCATCTGTTATTATTAGTTTTCTTGACAATGGGCCATTCTAACTGGGGTGAGGTGGAATCTCAATATTGTTTTGATTTGCATTTCTTTTATGGCTAGAGAGGTTGAGCATTTCTTCATGTGTCTATTGGCCATTCTTATTTCCTAGATGAATGGATCAAGAAAATGTGGTATATATACACAATGGAATTCTATACCTCCATTAGAAAGAATGATATTGCCCCGTTTGTTAGGAAGTGGAAAGACTTGGAAAAAATTATATTAAGTGAAGTAAGCCAGGTCCAAAGAAACATAGGTCCCATGGTTTCCCTTATTTGCAATAACTAGTATATGTCTAGGACAAACAGAAAAGGTCAGATAAGATGATGTTAAGTGAAATGCCAAGATAGGGACACAAGTGGTTTTTTTCTTTCTTGCTATTGTTTCTAACATATTTATAAGGCACCACGTAATTTTTTTATTGCTTTGTATGTCCCTCCCCCACGGTGTAACCTCTGTTTTCATTGTATTTGATGTTGGTATAATTTGGGGAGGGGAAGGGAAAAAACAAATTGTTTAGATAGGGATATAGGTGGACCCATTGCAACAATGAGATGTACAAGAAGCTATGTTGAAAAACGAACTTCACAACTTTGGCTGGGGTTGGGGGGAGTGTAGTTGTACTCATTACCTTGCTCATGTAGTTGTAACCCCTCTGTACGGTATTTTCACAATAAAAAACTTACTAAAAAGAAAAATAAAAAAAGAAAAAAGAAAACACAAGGCCTTGACTTTATACCCTAGGACTCCAAGAGGGAAAGATAAAGAAAGAACAGCAGGAGGATGTGAGGTACTGTGAAACAATCCTAGTATCTGCTCTTTAAAATGGTTTGTACATAAGTTCACCCCTTGAGGTACTTTCCAATTATATTTTCATAGTATCAAATGCTAATTGTTGTAAAGGTCTTAGTTTTCAGAAATTGTTCTGGTGATGAGGTTTGACCTTCGTTACACAAGCACTCTAAGTGAGCAGTATAAGGGTAAGTTAAAGGATGACATATGACATGAGGTTGTAAAGGGATTAAGAATCAAATCGAGAGCTCTGTGGAATACTTATTCATACAATATGGAGCATGGATATTTTTAGATTCTCTATATTGGATTCAGATGTGCTTGTTCTATTTTGTAAATCAAAGAAGTGGCCTATATCTTTCATCTGTGTGTTTAGGTTCGATGGTGAGAGACACCTTATGAAAACTAGAAATAGAAATCTCATCTTTAGTGTTAATAATGTACAAGGACTTGAGGAGAAAAAGTTTTAAGGTGCTGGTAATTAGCAGAAATCTGAAGCACAGCCTCAAAGCAATTAAGGATGTTAATTGAATATCTGGATACAGAATGGAATGCTTCTTGTGTGGCTGGACAGGGGAATCCAGGCTTGCTCATGGGAGTTATATCATACTAATAATGTTGAAAATCCAGAAAAAGCTGGGTGCTCGTGGTTCATGCCTGTAATCTTAGTTACTCAGGAGGCTGAGATCTGAGGATTGTGATTTGAAGCCAGCTTAGCCAGGAAAGTACAAGGGACTGATCTCCAATTAACTACCAAAAATCTGGACATGGAGCACCAGCTTTGAGCAAAAAGCTAAGGAACAATGCCCAGGCCCTGAGTTAAAGCCCCAGTACTGGCACACACAGACAAAACGAAAACCCAGAAAGAACAAGGCGGGGTCAACCCGTGTTCATCTAGTAGACAGCAGCATTTGTGAATGGCAATACACTTTTGGCTATATGCAAAACTGCGTATTTGAAAAATTAATATTAACAATCAAATCATTCATCCTCTCTTTTTGTAAATATGGCATGCCATTTACTCATGGAAAACTCAGTTATGTGCCATGGTGATTTTCAGGTCTTCTGATTCGGTAGAAAAATCTCCATATTCATGTGATTCTCTAAACATAATCTATGGTCCCAGGATATTTGCAACATCACATCTATGTGCATTTGGGGACAGAGAGGAATGAATATTGCGGATGAGCTCAGAGTGGGAATGTGAGTTTATTATCGAGGTCCTCGAGAGCCTTCACCAGGGCTCATTAGCTGCCCCATTTGAATAATGTGAACACACTTCTAAAAAGAAAATTCAAAAGAACTCACCATTGCAAAAAAGTTTCCCAGTAAAAGAAAAAAAAATGAGATACTCCTTTTAGAGGAACTTGAAGGGTAGGTAAATAGTTGTTAGGTTTTGATAGTGCTATGGCTTTAGAGAATACTTTGGCCTGTCTCAGGCAAAGACAAGAGAATGTCCACTTATACAGCTTTAGAAGTGGCTCAAGCTCAAGATGTGGCTCAAGCCTGTAATCCTAGTTACTTGGGAGACAGAGATTGTGGGATTGTGGATCTGGGGATTGTGGTTGGAGGTCAGCCTGGGCATGAGAATTTGAGAGACTGTCTCTTGACTAAGGCTATTGCTGGAGGGACATGGCTGTTATCCCAGCTGTACAGGAAGCACAATGGCGGGGTGGCTATCTTCCCCACTAACACAGGCAAGCACAAATACAAGGACTGAAGCCCAGGTGGCTGAACATCACAATCAAGTCCTTACTGTGAAAATAACCAACATTAAAAGATGCTGGAGCTATGGTGTAAGTGATAGAGCATGTGCTTAGCAAATGTGAGGTTCAATTCCCTGGTTAGACACAAAATATAAAGCAAAAGAATATAATATAAAACAAGGCAAAGAATTCAGAGCAAATTCAGTGTTGTAGACTAGTTCAGTTCTCTGAATGGTGTGACCAACTTTACTACCCAAATGCTTGAAATTCATAGCCTCAAAACTAAAGTTGATCAATAGTTTTCAATATTTCAGCTTAACTTTACAGAAAATAGCAGATTGAAGTCTCTACCTCCTGTTTCAGCCTCAATGCTGTTTCTAGAGAAGTTCCTACTAGGCTGACATGTGCCTTTTTAAAGTGAAGGTGTCTAGAAGGCTGAAGAGGATAGAAGCACACAGAATCTAAAAATTCCCAATTGGATCTGTCCTTATCTGAGGGATAAAGCGTTCATTAGGCTGCTGTGCTTGGGTAAGACCAGGGTACTCAACTACTAAAAGACATTTTGTCATATGCACGGGGTATAGAAAATAGAAATTGTACCTAAGGCCTGAAACTAGGCTTATTATATGCATGTATCTTCTACAAGGGTAAAGCAAAGGAATTTAGGGGTTACTGAATATATTCAGGGCTTTCCCCACAGCCCTCCCCCCAGGCAATGGAACCTGGGATCAGGGTTGACATTCTTCACACAGGATTGGAAAGCAGGCTTAAGAGGCAGCAATGTGACCTCTTTGGATCAGGAAAAGTTCCTCCTTGTTATGTAATGTGTGCATTTCATTATTTACACGACTTGTCAGGGCGATTGATTGGGAGTTGTGTACATAGCAAGGTGAACATGAATCTCCTCTGAAGTAAAATGGAACCAAACAACCTCCTGGCACTGCTGTCTCGCCCTGGCTTTGCTTTACCAGTCATGCTTGCAAAAATTGCCCCAAATGGTACCTATTTCATGATATTAATTATTATAATTTTTTCTCAAGTGTTTTTAGGAACTACAAGTCTCTTAGAAAGTTTCCCATACTCCTCTTCCTTGTGCCCTGAGGAGGAATGAAAGTGTAAATACTCAAAGGTTCGCTGAGAAAATCCTTTTAAATTTTATTATAGGGAATTCCAGCCAGGAGGAAATTGAGGAAGGGGAGAGAGCTCTGGCTACAGCTCTGGGGTCCTGCGAGCTGACCTTGGACAACCCGTGGGACGTGGGAAGCCCGGCGCCGGCGGCGGGGCAGTAGCAGCGGGAGTGAGTGCCGGCGGCCTCGCGGAAAGGCCACGGAGGACCCTGTGTCCGCGGGTCTGCTCCGAAGCCAGTTTCCTGCAGCTCGCTCCCGGGTGCCCCGGCCAGCCGAGCGAGGTGGGCGTGTCCTCTGGGGGCGTGCCTTCGCAGGGTGGACACACCCCCGGCCGGGTTTATAATTCCACTGGCTCACCCCGCGGACCAGCGCCTGGAGTCGCACACGCTCTCCGCACGGGTCGCCGGACTGGCGGCGGGCCGGGAGTCCGCACAGCCCGCTCGCGCCCTCCGGCGCCCCGGCCTGTGCGCCCCCGTGTCCCCCCGCGCGCCCGCCCACTCCCGCGCGTGCCCTCCCCGCTTCCCACGCGCGCGCTCGTCCGGCCCCGCGGCCCCGCGGCCTTCCCATGGCTGACCTGAGCTTCATTGAAGATTCCGTCTCCTTCCCGGAGAAGGAGGAGGATGAGGAGGAAGAGGAGGAGGGCGTGGAGTGGGGCTACGAGGAAGGTAACCCTGGATCGCGGGGGGTTCTTGGGTTCTGGGGTCCTGGGGCAGGACGCGGGGCACTGCGCTCTGCTGAGGGTTTTTTTTTGGCTCCCCTGGCGCCCCCTCTTTCCCCTCCCTCCGCCTGGTTCCCGCGGGAGGCTCTCCAGGGAGGTGTGCCCTCCGCCTGCGGTCCCCCCGCCGCCCGCGGTTGCGCCCGCGGTTGCGCCCGGCGGGGCTGGCCGGCCCGAGGGCCGCCGTGGCACCTGCTGCGGTCCCCAGCGCCAGCCTTCCCGCCCTGGAGCTGCCAAGAAGGGCAGCGGTGGCTGTTACTCAACACTTTGCGGAGGCAGTGTTAAGTGAGATGATCAGTTTCTTGCTTTCTAATCTTTTTCATGAATGGTAACTAACATGATCAGCTCTTTCTTGAACGAGTCTTAAATTTCAAAAGCGATGTGGGCTTGGCAAAAGGGGGCTTACTTCTTTCTCTCTCTCTCTCTCTCTCTCTCTCTCTCTCTCTCCCTCCCTCCCTCCCTCCCTTCTTTCCTCCCTCCCTAACCTCCCTCCCTCCCTCCCTCCCTTCCTTCCTCCCTTCCTTCTTTCCCTCCCTCCCTCCCTCCCTCCCTCCCTCCTTCCTTCCTCCCTCCCTTCCTTCCTCCCTTCCTTCTTTCCCTCCCTCCCTCCCTCCCTCCCTCCCTCCTTCCTTCCTTCCTTCCTTCCTTCCTTCCTTCCTTCCTTCCTTCCTTCCTTCCTCTCTCTCTCTCTCTCTCTTTCCTCCTCCTCTTCCTTCTTCCTCCTCCTCCGCTTCCTCTTCTTCCCCCCTCCTCCTGCTTCTTTTTAGAAGAAACTTGTTCCTGACAACATAGGGCGCCTAATAGCTCACCATTGTTGCCATATAGAAGATAGAATTTTAATTTATTACGGCTTTGTATATATACACACATATGTATATGCATATATATATATATAATACACACACGAGTATACACGTAGACACACTTTTTACTGTCTCATTTCTTTTTAGAGGTGCTCACTAGCATCAATATTGAAGTTTTGGGCATGTGCCTACTATGTTGAAAGTTATAACTAGTTCCTAACTATGGATCATAATTTAAGGAGAAACTTTTGTGATTTCTAATCACTGAAAGATGACTAAATGTTTTAGAGCCATAGACTGTTACAACTAGTGGACAACTACAAAAGAAGAGAATATTGCATTGGTGTACGATATTGTGTCTGGTATTTGGTAAGATTAGATCGTTCCTTACATAACAAAAGTATCTTGTACATTTGTCATCTAAGTTTCTGTACAGAAATTGTATCAGATCCTCTTTGTAATATTAAAGGTCAAAGAAACATTTAAACTTGTTTTTCCATGTTAAATCTGTTCTTAATTTTTTTTAATTTTTTTACATTTTGACCTTAGGTGTTGAATGGGGCTTGGTGTTTCCAGATGCCAATGGGGAATACCAGTCTCCTATTAACCTAAACTCCAGAGAAGCTAGATATGACCCCTCGCTGCTGGATGTCCGCCTTTCTCCAAATTATGTGGTCTGCCGGGACTGTGAAGTCACCAATGATGGACACACCATTCAGGTTATCCTGAAGTCAAAATCAGGTATTTTAGAAAACTTGTGTGCTCTGTAAACTAAGGTCTTGGTGGAGTTGAACTCTGATTTAACTTGTGCCACTTTAAAAGTAGAACTAACATAGGTATGTTTTCAGGACATCTTTGCATTTTGGGAATTGTTTCCTAAGGCTGCTGAAATCAAGAAGATCTCAGTTGCTTTGCTTTATATGATGATTCTGGATCCATCATAGCTGGTGAATATGTGCTTTGTGAAATAAGGAAAGTCTAGAAAGTAGGTGGACTGATGTACACCTTTTACTTTTCTTCATTTTGTTGATTAGCTGACATTATTTCAATCATTGTTCTCTGTTTTACTACTTTGTGAAATGGAAGATGAGGACTTAGTGCTCTTCAGGTTTATAAACTTTTCAATTTAATTTTCTCTGCTACGACAAGATGAATTCTAAACAATAGCACTGAAAACTCCACTAAACTCCACTAAAGATTTAAATGGCAAAGCTCTTGCTTTTATTTATTTTTAAACCACCTACTCCTGCCATCTGAACCTGTTTGAGATGGATCTGAGCTGATTTGTGGAGGATAGTTTCCAGGGAAATTGATGTCTAGCTTTAATATAATATCATGCTTTTCACAGTGAACAATCTTTACCTTTGGGAAGAATGTAAAAGTAGAGTATGTTCAAATACAAACATCTGCTTGAAAAAATTATCCATATTGATAATTTGACATTTTAAGTCATAAAATCTTAAAATTTAATACTAAGCAAGGCAAGTATTGATTCCAACTGTGGATTTTAATTTTTATTCATTGTGAATTTAGATTCTACAAGATAGTCATAGATTCATGGTCTTCCCTGCTGGGCAGAGTTTGTCTCGGCTGGAGCTCCCTAAGGAGATTCTGGGTATCACATGTACTTAGTCAAAGAGAAATAGCAAACCTAGATTTGAACTTAAATCAGAATTTTGGGATGTTTACCAATGATCAGACATTCTGTATTTTTGAGGTATCTTGTAAAATTATTGAATATTTACCATGCTGGCATATACAAAGCATCTTAAGGTAGTACTTGTGTGTACTTCTGCAAGTAAATTTTTATAGGTCCATATAACAAAGCCACACTTCCTGTTGACACCAGGAGGAGTATTGGTTATTAAGGTTGACAGTTGTTGAGGATTCATTGTCTAGTGAAAACACAATTCTTTAAAGTTTGATGTAAATGTTAATAAATCATTACTAAGAGAATAGATAATGACTAAATGCAAATCCCCATTGAGCTAGTGTATATTCAGTGCTGCCTCACCAGGGGGGAAGAACTATGTGAATTTCTGCCTATGCCCGATTGGGGCACATGGGACCCCCAGCTCTATTCTTTGCGTCTTCAGAGACCTTCCAATCCTTCAAAGGCCCGGCACTGCTTCTCATGATTTCTTCCCTTTTGATGGTTCTACATACTGAAAAAGTTAACTAAAAAACATGTTTTGACCAGTTTTTTTTTTTTTTTTTTAGATTATTTAAGCTTCTCAAAGTAGTCTTTAAGTCCTTACTACCCCGTCATTTCTTGAGTTGTATCTTTAAGAAAATGGAAACTGGCATAATTTAAATAGTTGAAATATTACTGTATTTCTCTCTACCTCTGTTTTATCTGATTTTTCCCACCTTTAGTTTCTGTTCACTAGTGACATGTGCTTTGAAGTACTTGTACCTTTTTAGCTACTTCATGTATAGTGATCTCCGTATTCCTTAATGCTGTGTTTATGCAGTTGTACTCTGATAGTTAAGATAGCTTTAAATATTAGGTATTAATGTTTGGAAAATGATAACAGGTCTTTTATAACTCTCTTTGTTTGTTCCCTCATTGTCATGTACCCTCTTTTTTTGTGCTGGTCCTGGGGCTTGAGCTTATGATCTGGGCATTGTCCTTGGACTTTTTTGCTCAAGTCTAGTGCTCTACTACCTGAGCCATAGCTCCACTTCTGGCTTTTTTGGTGGTTAATTGGAGAAGAGTCCCATAGGCTTTCCGGCTGGGCTGGCTTTGAACTGCCATATTCAGATCTCAGCCTCCTGAGTAGCTAAATTATACGCATGGGCCACCAGCACCTGATTGCCCCCTGTTTTTAAATACTTTCTATTCAGATTAATAATCAGTTTTTTGGTATTCTGATGAGGCTATTATTTCCAGCTGAGTCTAAATTCTTTCCAGCTGTGACTATATTCTGTTTCTTTTATTAAGCAATATTTTCCCCTGTAAAAATATTTTTATTAACTTTTAAATCTATTTATTATAAATTCATACTAAACATTCTGACAGATGACAGATCTTTCAGCACATTCACAGTCATCAAATTGTTTTCCCACCTTCCCTCCTTCTCAATTTGTCTTTCCTTCTTCCCCTTGGTGAAACAACTCCAGTTGGGATCCTTCAGTGATAGTACACCTGTAAAGTCTTTTGATTATCTCCAGTATTAGATTTCTTCTCTCCTAAATGTAGATTCATCCTCTTTAGGGCTACTCCCTCACTGTGGAGAGTTTCTTATTTCATTTGTTCTAAGGTTTATGTTCCATGAACTTCTGGACAGAGGGGTAAGTGAAGGGAAGTGTAGGACTATCTGATGTGTCCACAAGGTTGTGTTTAAACCTCTTGGCTTGACTGGATTTACCTGGATGGTCGTCTGGCTTGGAAGTGATTCCAAGCATCATTTGGATGTCATTTCTATACTTTCTCTGGCCCTAGTCATGGGCTGAGATCTAAGGCCATATGCCTTTCAGTCCGTCTCTGCACACTGTGTAGAAGCTTTTATAGTTTTCCCTTTCCTGCTGTTTTGAAATTTTATACCCACAGATTTTTGCATGGTATTTATTTCATTCTATGTGCTGGGCATTTGGTGGGTCCTTTTAATCAGGATAATTGTGTCTTTTATTTCCCTGAAATTGTAATATATTTCTTGTACTGTTTTGTTTATAGAAATGCATATGGTGTCACACACTTATAATCCCAGAACTCTGGAGACTGAGGCAAGAGGACTACAAGTTCGAGTCCAGCTTGGACTACATACATATTGAAGCCTGCCTAAAAAAATGTTTCTCAGTTTTTATCTCTGTCCTTTTTATTTCTTTCAGTTACCCCTACTTTTCCTTTTCCTCCATTTTCTAGTAAGTTATTCCATTTTCTTTCAGCTTTTTTCCTGCACTTTTAATTCTTGCTTACTTGCTTGCACACACACACACACACACACACACACACACACACATATACACACACACTCACACACACTCACTTAGAACTCATGATCCTTCTGTCTCAGTATTCTAAGTGTTGAGCTTCCAGGTGTGTGCTACCTTATAGAGCTTCATATTTTTAATTTCTAAAATATGATGTTCTGTGACTTTAAAAAAATTTAAAACTTGTGGGATCCAAGCTGAGCACCAGTTGGATAGCTTATGTCTACCATCCTAGCTACTCAAAAGCTGAGATCTAAAGACCATGGTTTAAAGCCAGACAGGACAAATTCTTGAGACTCTGATCTCTAAATAACCAGAAAAAACCCCAAACCCAATCAAACTAGAAATGGAGTGTGGCTTAAATTGTAGAGTAGCACCAGCTATGAGTGACAAAGCAAAGGGACAGCCTGTGACCTTGAGTTTAAGCTCAGTACTGGCAAATTTTTTTTTTATAACATTCAGTATTTCATGACTGTGAAACTTTTCTTCATTCTTTCCTATATTGCTTCTTTCCTGTTCTGTTTATTTTAGGCTCTTCCATATACTTGTTTTGGTCCTTGTCTTTGACTCTGAGAGTCTCGTCAAATGTGTAATGATCTTGGTTCCTTGTTTGTACGTGAGAATGGCCCTAAAAGTGAATGAAAAGCTCTGAGCACAGGGTCTGGTGTACCTCATGGGGTCTGGTGTACCTCATGGGGTATGGTGTACCTCATGGTACCTGACTTTCTTGTGGAGACCTCTTCACAGGTTTCATTGATTTCCCTGGAATGTATCTACTTTTTGCTTTTGGTTTTGTTTTTGTTTGGAATAGAGGGCTAGCTCACACCTGGTTCTTGGCCATCATCAGGAACATCACCATTTGGTACCCATTTTTCTTCTGTCAGGGAATATAAGGTAGTTTCCTGGCTATGAAGAATAGGAGGGAGAGGCATAACAAATTCTCTTAAAGACCTTAAATATATTTTCCTGCTTATAGTTTCCTGCTCTGTACTTTTCCACAGGAGAAATATTTGATGTCTTTATCTCCTGAGTCTTTTCAGCTATGTGACTTCATTTGTCTGTTATAACAAAATACCATAGGCAAGGTAAGTTATAATAGGCATTTATTTTTCACAGTTGAGTCTGAAGTCCAAGGTCAAGTTGGCTGTCGAGTTAGCATCTGATGAAGACTTGTACTGGGCTTCATAATCGTGCCTTGTTGCTGTCTCCTTATCTGACAGACGGGAAAAAAGGGCCACAGTAGCTTCTGTGTAAGGCATGAAACCATTTCTTAAGGGTGCAACTTCATGAATCACCTTCTGAAAGTTCCCATCTGTGATGTTGTTGCATTTAGGACTGAGTTGCAACATGCATTTTGGAGGGCATGCAAACATTCAAACCATAGCACTTGCTGTCAGTGGTATTCGTTGCTGGCCTCTGCCCTTTCTCTGCCTATAGATTTGTTTTGCTGAATTACCACCTTTGAGTCCACTTTAGCAATTCCTCAATTTCTCTGAGGCTGTTATTTCCACTCTTGTTCATTCTGCCCTAGTGAATTTTTGGCCCTTTGTTTAGTGAGGATTGAGAAGTGGGGGTGAGGGTGATAAGTACTGGAATTCTGGAGTATAGTTCTAGTTGTGTGATTGGAGCTATTTCCTTCATTTATAGCGCATTGTCATTTTAAGTAAGAAGCACTGTATAACTAAGCACACCTATTTTTTGTGTGATGCCAGTTCTGGGTCTTGAACTTAGCTCTTGGGTACTATCTCTGAGTTTTTTTGCTCAAGGCTAGTACTCTACCACTTGAGCCACTGCTCTGCTTCCAGCTT